GCGAGGGGATCATCATGCCCAGGGATGACATCGCCCACGTCGTTGTTGTCCCACACAATGTTTGGCATCACATTGTGTGGTTGGCGTGGATAAGGTCCTCTACTTACAGGGTGGCCGTATATCTGGCGGGGGGTTTAGTGGTCTTTCTCTCTTCTTCGTCTGGATCTTTGGTTTTGTTAGCCCTCTTCTCACGGTCGTTGCTGTCATCTGACCTACTTCCTTTGTATTCTTCTATCCTCATGAACTACTGAGCTTTTTTCTTGACTCCCTCTAAGTAAGTTATTTCATGGCGGGCTAGTTCATATGTGAAAGCCCCTTGTCTCAAACCTAACAACAGGATGTGCACCTGTACCTTGGGGTCTAGGCCCTGAACTAGCAAGGCCTCTTTGTCAAAGCGGTTTAAGAAGGATCCGAGGGACTCTCCCGACTGCTGGTGCGGTCTAAGAAGCATCTGAGGGACTCTCTCGACTGCTGGTGTATTTTTTCAAGGGAATGGACAGACTTGGGCACTGGGCGGCTTGTCGCGAACTGAGTTTGAAACTTGTTCGCTAAATCATCCCAAGACGAGATACTTCCTGTTGGTAGACTGGTGTACCAGGCCAACGCCCGCCTGCCAAGAAGTGTGGGAAAAGTTATGCACATGAAGAGATCAGTTTCAGCATGAAGGGTCATTGTCGCCTCAAACTTTTGAATCCACTCGAACGGATCGATATCTCCCAGATAGGTGGTAATATTTGAAGGGCCTTTGAAACCCAAAGGTATACGGGTTAGGCGAAGGTTGTCAATTAGGGGTTTGTTGCGCCTAGAGGTATTGATGGGCGTAACACGTGTGTTCAGGTTATGCACATTTGCTTCAGGTGGTGGGCGGGGCGCTTGGGGGGCTTCAACTGAAAGGGAAAGAGTCGGGGCGTGGTCTATGCCATGTAGGGGTGGTGGTAGGATCATATATGACCCTTGAGGTTGGGTGATAGCTGCGTTATGTGATGGTATTGTGTAACCATGAAATGGCATTCCAGGAGCTATGGGTGGTACGGGGTAAGGGGCACCAATGTGGTAGGTGTAAGGTCCGGGAGGGTGTCTGGTGGTCACTGGCATTCCATTGTCGTTGTACATAACGATTGGTTGGCTTCTGGGCGACTGTTGATACATGGCGGGCTGTACTCTTTGGGGGACTGTGACCGGTATGGGCATACCATAATGGACTCCTAGAGGTGGGGGTGGAGCTAGGCCAAGTTTTCCCCTTGAACTTCACGTATGGCCACGTGGCGATCTATCTGCACCACTTGACACAGGTTGGGTGCCTCCCTCTGCGCTTTATTTCTAGCGTTAGCCAACAGAAACTGTGCATCGACAGACTGTAACACTGGTGGAAGAGTCGTAATAACTGCTTGCTGGGCTGGTGCTGACTGTATGGATTGCGGGGAGCTGGAATGTACCGTCTGATCCTTACCTTCGGGGGTGGTAGCTCTAGGTTGGTGTGTTCTTCTCGTAGCGACTGCCATGCTTCGTTCAAGATATAAGGTTTTGCTTTCTGTAGATCTTTTGGTCGGAGAGTGGGAATAGAAGTTTATAGATTTCTCATAGACGGCGCCAATGTACCGATGTGATTTATAAGCGCACTATGTTCCCTTCAGGGATAAGAGTCATTGTATGAGTTATAGCTCTAGCACAGGTAGAGACCAAGCTAGGAAGCACCGTCCCAAGTATGAATGCTAACAGACGATAATGGGGGATACGTATGTGTGTGACTCAAGAATTATGGGCAGAATAACGATACATAAGATGCCCTTCTTTGGTCTTGAAGGGGTATTTATAAGAGGAGTGGGTATCTGGCTGGGGTGAGTAGGTGAGGAGAAGGTCAACTCTCCTCGGGGTGCACCATGGGCGACTGACACTGCTGTGGGTGCAGAAGTGCAGTCTCTGTATCAGAGGTAGTAGTGTCTGTTGCTCCCTCTGTGAAGGGAGTTACTATTTATGGTACCTGGGGCGGTCTGCTGCTGGGTTGGCATCCCTAGGTAGGATATTTTGGTGTCTCATCTGGGGAAGCGCAGTCGCCCAGGAGGCAGGAAAGATGTAGGGCTTATGGTTGTTGGTCAGCAGGGCTGACGTGGGAATAGAGAGGGATTGGACCCAGGTCTTTGGGCCGCTCAAGTATAGGCCTCTCTGAATAGGATTGGGCCCAGGCCAGCAGGCCGTTCAGGTAGGGGCAATCCAGAACAAGGAGAAAGAACATAAAAGAAGGATCACAAAATTATCCAAATTCCATTTTATTGTTGGTGCCTATATTTAATAGATTCATAAATTTGATAAAATCTTACATAAAATCTCACGAACATAAATTTTAGAGTAAATATTTTTGGTTTAGGGTTTGAAGTTTAGAGTTTAGGGTAAATTTAATAAATATTTTTGGTACCTAAACATAAAATATATATCAAAATACAATCATTTTACTTAAAATAACATAAAATTATATCATTTAAAATGAGAAATATTTTTGGTACTTTAGTTTAAAGAGAAATGCAAAACTAAGTTAGTCCTTCAATATCACAATTTAAAATTAACTTTTAATTGGCGTCAATAATCTATATAAGAGTGTGAATAATGAATCATGTTTCTAAAGAGAGAGCAAAGTTCAAACATTGAATTATGAATTTGTTAGAGAATTTCTTCTTTTTTTTTTAAGTTAACTCAATCCTAATTATCATTTTGAGGTAAGTTGGCTTCTCACGTTATTTTTACAAGCTTCGACTATTTGAACCGACTATAAGACTAATCTAAAGTATTGGACAGAATAGAGACGAAGATATTTAAATTCTTTGCTAAATATAACATATAAAGATCAAACCAAACTCCTTTCATTTTTATTTACTCAAGTTCTTAACTATCACCGGTGATAGGATTTCTTGATTAACTACCAATAGCGAGTGCATTCTCATGATTAGTCTACATCAATTCGGGATACCCTGGTCAGAAAAGAAAAATGACGCCAAGTTAATCTCGAAGAACGAAATCATAACACTTGTCGTTGAAGGACAGTTTGCTAACACTGATATAAAAAAACCAAAGTAAAATTACAGGTTAAAAATAAATATATTTTTCAATGGACCTACACCTACCGGTCTTTTGATTTTTATTTTCTTTTTTTGTTGATGGGACCTACCCCGTCTTTTAATTTTAATTTCGTTAGGGTTAATAACTTTCTTATTGCCCGCGTCATATTAAGGTTAGATAATCCTCTTATTAAGCCAAATTAGTGGTTATTTTTTGCCTTCTTTAAAAAAATTAAATATAAAAAAATCTATAATCCTTTATTCATGCCGCCGTAGGGAGGTTGGATTCCTATTCTCTAGTTTTTATTTTTTTACATGAATGGAATACTTGACAAAGATAGGTAGGTATCAAAATTTTGATCAAATTACAACCATTGCATTAAGTCTACACTAGGTGCTTCCCATTGTTGATGGAATTAATTTGTCGACTGTATTCGAGAAATTTTAAGAAAATATCTTGGATATTAATTTTAAACATAAAAGACACATCTCAATCTCTAACTAAGGAACGAGTACTTAAATTCAATGTTATTAAATCCAAATTGATTATTGACTAGGTAGGATCACTAGATTAATGAGTAATTGATTCAATCAATGATTTACTAGTTCAACCATTAAACTAGAATTATATGAAAATATATAATAAATATAATAATAAATTTGCTTTAACAACAAAGTCCTTTAGCCTAGTGGTAAATGTTTTTGGCAAGTCCCAACACATCATGGATTTAAAAATTCAAAAACCAGTTTTTTCAATACCGGTTGAACCGCCACGCGAGTTATACTCTATTCATTGCTTTGATACTGAGCTGATTGTACAATTAGTCCGTAAAATCGATACCGAGTTGATTGTTGTGTGAATTGGTTGGATCGATCGGTTCGGTCTAGATTTTGCGCCTAGATCATGCGAATGCCCAAAGAATCTAACTTACACAAAGGGATAATTATGGTATTAAATTTAAAAAAAAAATATCCCATGGTTTACATTCATCCACTAATGGAAAAGAAATATTAAGAAAAAAGAAGAAGAAAGAAAGAACGGAAGTGAGGTGATAATGCATGAACTTCCGCCAAACGATTACATGATATTTATTCCAAGTCAAGCAAGTTGTGAGAAAGCATACGTTCCCTACATCTATCTGTTTTTCTTTAGTATATTTTTTTTTATGTGAAAACTATTATTATGTAGATAGAAATACTTAAAAAATTAGCATAATAATGACTTCACTATTTTTATTGTTATCGTATTTTTTTCTCTGTCAAATTATGAATAACATGCCATTTTATTATGATGCCGACTATAAACATCATGATACTTACTTCGTGTTGATCCAAGTAAGCAATTTTATTTTTTATTGCTCAATCAAGAGTTTAAAAATTGGATGTTAAGGATGTTTCTCATAAGATAAGCTAAATATGACTGCACTTCGTTTGTATTGTGGATAACATTGAATATCGATTCTAGTATGAAAACCAAGAACCCTCAGGCCCCCACTATTTCATGTCAAATATTTGCTAATGTTTTTCCAAGATTTATCATGTGGCGTTTCCCATTTCCTCATCTACTCAAAGTGAACCTCAACTTGCCTCGCTCTCTCTGACCCAAACAGTATTAACATGAGGAAGGACCATGTGAGTTGCACATGCATATCCTTGTTCCTTTAATATTAGGTGACCAAATCATTTCTTGCAGAAAAAAAAAAAAAAAAAAAACTTGAACCAATTAAATTGTGTGTGACACACACTCACAGAGAGAGAGAGAGAGAGAGAGAGGAGTTAATAAGGTAACAACTAGTTAAGAAAGTACTGCAGGTGCAGGTCTAGGTCTATCACCTGATTCCTCCCACTCCTTGGCCTCACTCCATAAGTACCCCTCTTATCTTCTCACTTTCCATTCACCTTCAAACCAACACAACTCATTTCTCTCTCTCTCTCTCTCTCTCTCTCTCTCTCTCTCTCTCTCTCTCTCCTGCAATGGCTGGAATAGTTCTCCTCTGCATTGCATCATTGGTCTCTCTTTTTGTTGCAACAAGTGGTAGAATCCCTGGAGTTTACAGCGGAGGCCCATGGCAAAGTGCTCATGCCACTTTCTATGGTGGCAGCGATGCCTCCGGAACAATGGGTAAAACCCCTTCTTTCTTTTCTCTCTCTCTTTCTTCGTTATCTTCCTCTACAACTCACCCCATGTGTCTGTTCTGTTCTGTTCTGTTCTGTTTTCTTCTACCCCTTTTACCGTAATCATCTTTAGCTTCCTGTTTATCACTACACTCACCACTTTGCATTTTCATTTTTGCATTAATTTCTAGTCTCTTAAAACCATTTTGTACCATTCTATGTCAAGCCCTCGTTTGTTTTGCCTTTTCATATGAAAATGTTGTTCTGTTTCATGTCTTACCATATCAAAAACTTATTTTTTTATGACCCATTTTCCAAACCCACCCTTGGAACTCAATAAATTTTTCATATTTCCCTCACAATTTTTTTCCATTTATTTGCAAAATCTAGAAAAAGCCCAATTCCAATGCAATCCAATTTCTTGTTAAATTTTCTGAAATACTTAGGTAATGAACACAATTGTTATTTGATAAATTTTTTTTACTTTTTTATTTTTATTTCTTTGGTTGTTTCAGGTGGTGCTTGTGGGTATGGAAACTTGTATAGCCAAGGCTATGGTGTGAACACTGCAGCACTGAGCACAGCACTGTTCAACAATGGCTTGAGCTGCGGTTCATGCTTTGAGATCAAGTGTGACCAAGATCCTCGTTGGTGCAACCCTGGGAACCCTTCAATCTTGATCACTGCAACCAATTTTTGCCCACCAAACTTTGCTCTTCCTAGTGACAATGGTGGTTGGTGCAACCCACCTCGACCACACTTTGACCTTGCCATGCCAATGTTTCTCAAGATCGCTCAGTACCGTGCCGGAATTGTCCCCGTCGCTTACCGCCGGTGAGTACAACCACCCCTTTTCTTCCCTTGCCTTTACCCTTCATGGGTTGCTTTCAATTTATCTCCTTTCCAAGTGTTTTCTCTTTTTGGATGCCCAGAAAATAAGTAAGAAACCTTAAAAAACTAAAACTTCTGAGTCTTTTTTTTTTTCCTTCCCCATTATGGGATTCTCCTGAAATTATGAAATTGCATAGTGAGGTACCAGCATGAAAAACAGAACAGCAAATGTTGAAAGTTTTTGCCTTTATTGTCGATGTTTTCTTCCCAAGTATCCACTGATTTTCGTGGGAAACAAACAAAAAACTCCAATAGAATCTCCTCAGCAGTTTCATCAGAATCCCCATTAAGGTGTTTAGTCGATTACACAGAAATGGAAACCAACAGAAAGAGCCATTTTTACCTTTGTGGAAATCTTAAAATCTTCTCCGTACCTCACCGAACAGCCTTATTCCTTGATAAGCATTACGCAATAAACTAAATGATCCCTTCAAATTGTAATCATATGATTTAAATTGGCTTGAGAAACCGTTAATACTATAATTAAATACTTTCGTTTGTAAACTAACTAATCATTAATTTTGTGAAAGTAGATTTTGCTTTGTAAGATTAATGTGTGATCAAATCAATAAGAAGCTTTTCCCTTAGATGACTAAAATAACCTCCGTTGTTAGCAAAAGGACAAGTTGTCCTAGGGCATTATAGTCATTCAAAAACTCGATCTGCAAATTCTTCAGTACTTCGAGGGTATCCTAGTAAAATGTGCCCTGAGGAAAAATAAATCCCTGAAAATCAGGAATTAAAGTCAGAAAAACATCTTTAGTATGAGATAATTTATTGTGAATCCGCCATTTTTTAGGTGATCCTTTAGTGTAAATAGGAGGATAAAATTAAAAAAGAAGAAAAATAACAGAAAGAAAAAAAGAAAGAAAAAATTAATAATGTGAGAGGGAGCACCAAAAAATTCAGTGATTCTGGACCATATTAAATATTTTCCTTTAGTATTTCCATGCCTTGACTTTAGGTCATTGTGTTACTCATCCTTAGAAAAAGGTACAATGTTTTTGGGCTTTGTAATAACATCTCAAAAATATATTTTGCGTAATTAACTTTTTACTCTATGTAATTTTATTCATGGTTCATTATAGTTTGAATTTGTTTACTTTAATTTTCAATTTAGCAATTACACTGAATACCATCACATATTGATCTCATTCAAACTATTTTGTGAATTAATGAGGTGTCATATGTTTTTTTATGGCACATATCATATGATAATTGATGTGTTAGTTTTAAAATGACTCAAATTTGAACATGATATATTTTACATTGAACAAAATAACTTAGATATGTTTATTGAATTAAAATAGTTAAATTCATTTTTTTGATGTATTTTATTTGGTTGCAGGATACCATGCAGAAAGGTAGGAGGCATCAGATTCACAATCAACGGCTTTCGTTACTTCAACCTGGTGCTGATCACCAACGTCGCGGGTGCAGGAGATATCGTGCGCGTGAGTGTGAAAGGAACCAACACTGCGTGGATGAGCATGAGCCGCAACTGGGGGCAAAATTGGCAATCCAATGCCATTTTGGTGGGCCAGGCCCTCTCCTTTAGAATCACCGGCAGTGACCGACGTACCTCAACCTCATGGAACGTGGCATCACCTAATTGGCAGTTCGGACAAACCTTCATGGGAAAGAATTTCCGTGTCTAAACCCAAAAAAAAAAAAAAAAAAAAAAAAAAACATTCAATACAAATGAATGACTCTCTTATTTTTGACTTGTTTGTTTGGTTCAGTTTCCCTCCTTCTAACTTTCCTGTATTTTCCTGGGAAAGTTTTGAAGTGGGTGGGTTGGGTTAAAAGAAAGTTAAAGAGAAGGGTAGTTTTAGGGAAAGTAAAAGTGAAAGTAAGTTTATTTATATAATCAATATAAAAGAGAGTGAGGGTGTGTTTGTATTAAATGTGAAAGTGTTTCTAAAGTATAATGTAACGGGCGTTGCTGGTATATTAATTACCCAGCACTAGCAACTACTCTTAAAATGTGAGGGGGCTGAGGAGGTTGCAGGAACATGTAGCCCGCAGCTATGGTTTTATTATCATTATCAACATAAATGTACTATCCTATAAATAATGATATATTTCACTTGTTATAATTGCTTGAGTTATGAATGTTGCAATTTCTTTATTTTTTATTTTACTGGTTAGTGCAGGTTGATTTTAATTATGTATCATTGAAAAAATGCATAGATTAGACTTTTACATTATAATTTGGTTAACTAAATAAGTTAAATTTGTTATTAAAATTTTAGTTGAATTGAACAATATTCAAATTAAAGACATAATTAGTTCTCATTGGTGTAACTAGTGAATTTAATTTGACTTGATTTTAAAACGTTCATTATAAAAGTATAATTTAAAATGTTAAAAATCATTTATAAAGTGCAGGAAAAGCTATACCTTATAAACATCCCCCAATAGAAGTGGATTTAGGTTAATATGTTGAAGTGAATACAACATTTGATTGGTCATCAACGGCCTTGAAGTCTCAATGGTACTTTTCGTTACACTTTGTGGAGATATTGTCTGTCTTAAACTTAAAATATTTGGTTATGTACTGTTATAAAGTTTAAGTTTAACATATCTTAATATATAGAAAAGAGAACCAAACTTTGAAAATTTTGCTGACGTGTCACTTCCTCCTTAATTCTCAGCTTTGTGTTCACACTGGAGATAGTTTGAAAAGTTACTTTTTTTAGAAATATTTTTTATTTCGTAAATAAAAAAATTCTACAAAGGAGGGAGAGTTTCTTTTAAATCATTATAAAATACTTGGTGCAGTCAGCTGTATTAATGATGTTCCCAATTCAAAATTCAAAATTGAAATTTGAAATGGGTGGAAAGTGTATTAATTGAAATTGAAATCAGTCACCTAACAATTAAGTTTCCTCCACTATTTTCTGCATTGGTAATAGTGAAATGTATTCTACAAGCTAATTTTTTTTTTTTTAAATAAACAAATTACGACTTTTTTTTTGTAAATAAAAAAAAAAATTACGACTTTGCCTATAAATAGGGAAGTGTTGCTTCTTTTTTTTGTCTTGCTTGCATTTTTTTTTCGTTCATGTGTGTAGGGATTGTTCTATTGGTATAATTTTCTGCTTCTTTATGAACAAACCCTATGAATTCATTTTCATAAAATTTATACTGACTGATTTATTCATTTTTCAGGATGGAAGGATTCATAATACTGCCACCACATCTCATTTTCTCAGTGCAGCGGTAAGAATTTTTTTTTTTAATCGTAACAAAATTTTCTCACTGCATCTCATTGTTCTTTGTTCCTTTTGGATTTGTGAATCTGAACTTTTTTTTATTGAATAATGTTCGAATCTTTGCGTTCAAAGATTTCCGTGGATAGATCTGCATCTGTTATGGCTTTAAAGTGAAAACAGTTTAAAGGTAAAATCATAGGATATTTTTCTTAGATCTGATCTACATCTGTTATGGTTTTTTTATTTTCCCACTTCTCTCTCATTTTTCTTTCGATTCTTCCAATTCATCTCTTGCAATCAATCTTGAACCTGAGATGGATCGGTATTTTGTTTATCTTTTGTTAGAGCGGGTTGGTCATGGAAGTAGATTTGATGATCATTTGTTCAGCAAACGAGCTTGGAAGCATATGTCCTCAATGTTCAATGCGAGGAAACAACTGAACAATTGTCGTCCTTACGGTGGGTTCACTTTCAACTATCATACTATTTGAAAGCGCATGTGGAGTTTGCAGATCTTCAGAGAAGAGCTAAACTTGCTGTTGTAAGCTGTGAAATACTGAAGAAGATATGAGTTACCCTCTTTTGATTTTTCAATTTTGAAGCTTCCCTTTTTTTTTCTTTTATTTGAATATGCATCACACAATTGTGGCTCCATAATAGCGAAAAAGATATATTATTATATATTCTTTCCTTTTCTTATTTATTTTTTTATTTTTTATTTTATGTATGACTTTTATTATGTATCCTTTGTATATCCTTCTTATTTTCTTTTTATTTCTCTAGCGAAATTAAATGTGAATAAATTATTGAAATTAAATGTCTACGTAAATGATAAATCATATTTCGCAATCATTCTTGGCTTTATAATGTCCGATGATTTTATCTAGCTTTCATTTGACGTATAATAAAAACTAAGTAAATGTCTACGTTAATAAAAAGTTTAATTTGACTTATAATAGCCTACCAAAAAAAATTTGACTTATAATATTCTTGGTGTTATTATTGCGATTCAGGAAGAGTCTTAAAATATGCATGTCATTTTGCGATTCAGGCAGAGAAGTATTGTCAGTGCTCTTTTGGTTTGTATTCTTTTTTCAATTTAATACATTTTTATTATTAATAACAAAAACATTAATAATGTTTTATAATTCTAAATAGTTAGTGCGAAAATCAGCATTAATTAGTGGTAGACAGGTGCAGTAATATCCCACTTCTTTTTTAGAATTCAAAATTCAAAATTGTATAGGTGGGGAAAGAGTTTAACATCTTTTAGTGAGAGACAGCTGTATTAAATTTCTATTATTTTTTACATGAGAATTGTTAACTCTCATTTTAAAAAATATTTAATGCTTTTTAGCATATTTATAAAAAAACCAAAAGATCCCAAGAAAAGAGTTCAACATTAATTAGTGGCAGACATATGCATTAATATCCCACTTTTTTTGAAATCTCGAAATTTGAAGTTGATATAGATAGGAACAGAATTTAACATCTTTTAATGAGAGACAACTGTATTAAATTTCTATTATTTTCTACATGAGAATTGTTAACCCTCATTTTAAAAATTACTTAATGCTTTTTTTATATTTATCGAAAACCAAAATACCCAAAGAAAAGAGTTCAGCATTAATTAGTGGCAGACAGGTTCATTAATATTCTCTTCTTCTTCTTTTTTTGAAATTTCGAGATTTGAAGTTGATATAGGTGGGAAAAGAATTTAACATCTTTTAGTGGAAGACAACTGTATTAAACTTCTTCTATTTTTTACATGCAAATTGTTAACCCTCATTTTAAAAAATATTTAAAGTTTTTTTCTATATTTATCGAAAAATCAAAAGACCCAAAAAAAAAGTTCAGCATTACTTACGTTTTTATACTAGATATAAAATTTAAGTTCACAAATGATTAAAATTAACATTGATTTCTTCTCTCTCTGGCGTTTGGTACAGAAAAAAAAATTTATTTGTCCGGGAATCTTAATTTTCAAACATATGATTTTTACATTCAGTTTACGAAAATATCCGAAAATTTAAAATTTAAAAAAATTCAGTTTTCCGAGAATCCTGTAAAAATTCACGTACCAAACGACCATAATGTCTTATATCTCGGGAATGAGAGAGAGGAACTAACGTAGGTTACGCCATTCAAGGAAAGGAAAGGCATAAATGTCATTAAAAGGAAAAGACAGCGGTTGGGTTTTAAGGTGTAGGTGAGGGCTAGGCTTTGGGAATTGAAGTGAGAACAGACAGGCTCATAAGAGAGATGAAGTTGAAACGTCTAGCTAGGTTCTCAGCCTCGGAGGTGACTGTGAATTGTGTGAACTTCGAATAGATGGTAAGTGTTGTAGTGGTTGGAGGATCATATATATTTGAAATTTAAATGAAAAAATTGTTATACCCCATGTCCAAACTTTTACAATACCAACGCAACAAGGATTAATGACATTTTTAAAAAAGGGATTAATCGGGTATAATTACAATCTGTTCGAAGTTATAAAAACTGCACGAAACATCATTTTAAAAAAGGACTTTTACGTTTTACGCTGAAGTCCAATCTGTTGACCTACATGCTAATAGTTACGGGTAAGTGAAACGTCATTTTAAATGGCATTTAAGTAGGTAAAGATAACATATATGAAAATTTAATGTACAGATTTAATAGAATATTTAAAGACATAAATCAAACAATATTAATAGTTATAAATGTCATTTATTATCATTGCCACCTAAAACGTAATTGTCGTTGCCACTATAAATGGTTTTTCTGATTCTTGAACTGAAATGACACACTGTAATTGCTCAACAGATTCAATGGGATCTTAAATTGCAAAATAAAGGTTAAACAGTTTAAATTAAATAAATATATAATTTACTCTAAAAATCGAATTAAAATAAATTAAAATTTAAGTGAACCATTTGTTGGTGGCAGGCAACTCATTCGATGTCCCACTGCTTTCTACATTGAAATTTTCAAATTAATAATAACTCATTATTTTCTGAAATATTTATTTTAAATTTTGAATTTCATTTAAATTTCAATTTTGAATTTGAATTTTGAATTTTAAACTTTGTAGTGGTGGGAAAACATTTGGATAATTATTGGTGGCAGCTCATTTATCATACCATTACTTTCTACATGGATTTATGCCTAAGGTTTGGATGAGAATCTGACATTTACACTATATAGGGATTGTGATATTTTTGTAATTCTTTAGAAAGCACTTTTAAGTTTGCACTTTTACGTTTAATAATGAGTTGCCAATTCAATGAATAAAAATGGAAAATTGTTAATGCATAAATGAATGGAATCCTCATAAATATAAGAGTTGCCAATGCTCATAATGATAAGATGGAAAATGAGAACTAATTATACGAGATAGAGAATTTTAAAACTGATGAATGAAAAACAATCATACGATATAGAATTTTAAAACAGAAGAATAAAAAATAATTTATTTAATTCAAAATTCTAAAATAGATATTTAATTCTTTTTTAAAATATTTAAACTAAATAGTTAATGCGAAAAGATTTCAGCATTAAATAGTGGCAGACAGGTGCATTAATACCCCTTTTCTTTTTTAAAATTCGAAATTTGAAGTTGATATAGGTGAGAAAATAATTTAACATCTTTTAGTGGAGACAACTGTATTCAATTCCCACTATTTTCTACATGGGAATTGTTAACCCTCATTTTAAAAAACATTGAATGTTTTTTTTTCTTCATATTTATCGAAAAACCAAAAGACCCAAAGAAAAGAGTTCAGCAATAGTTAGTGGCAGACAGGTGCATTAATATCCCACTTCT